GCCAGCTAGCTTCGCTTGACGGGCAGTTAAACCTGCTCTAGGCAGCTCGTGTCCGTCTGAATGCAGCAGGTCAGTGAGGTCCACTGAATCAGAGGTGGTTATCTCACTGAGAGCTGACGTGTCGGCTGGGATTAGAAGAACTCGCCAAAGTCACAAGCCCAATGACTTCAAGAATCTCTTTAGAAGGTCGAGTCTCTTTGCACATATGGGGATCCAGTCGTAGTCGTAGTAAGGCTTATTTTCCAGTTCTCGTAATGGGACCAGATGTCACATTCAAAACAGCCACAGGTAGACGTGTACTACAAAGATAAGCATCCAGACTAATGATCCCCCTGTGGTTAAATACATCTGTGAACCAGTCAGGGTGCAGTGTAAATCCGTATCTGTCCACAGTCTATCAGTGGAGATTATTGTGAAGTTTCATGAGAAACTCATTAGTATGAGATGTAAGGATTACTTTGTCAGGCTTTGTTGTTCTTATTTAGCTGTTTTTAACACTGAGATTTACAAAAACAGAAACAGAGCAATATTTGAATTTGCTATCACGTGTTTACATTCTTGGCTAATAAAGCTCGTTTTGAATAAACAGAGATGCACAGATGTGAAAATCCCGGCTGATATCGATACCAACGTTTCAAAGAACAATTTAGGCAAATGCTGATTCAGATAGATTATGTGTTACTTCTTATTTCTTCATGTCTGTTTTTAGATATGGTCCATGTAGTCTGATGTATATAAATTACTACTGCTAGCCCTTCTTTATAATTCACTGGAACGTTTCTTACTCTACCCTATTTACCCCTTCTGTCTGCACTAACAGATCAGCAGATAGCATTTGGTTGCTAATCATTCACACAGACGGTGTAAGACTTCCACATTGACGATGTTTTCTTTCACATTTCACCATAAAAACAAATCAGTTTGCCCAACAGCAGCTTCTTCTACCAAATGAAAAACTTGCAAAGTGGTTAAAGGTATACTATGTGACTTTCAGAGTAGATGTCCAGTAGATGTCGCACAAAGCTATACCTTCAGCTCACCACTTCCCCTCCTCCCCCACCCCTCCCTGACTGTTCCGACCGAGTGCAGCCGAAAAATGAGTCGGTTCTAATTTCATTGATGTATTTTATATCAAATGTCTTTTCTTTGGATTGGAAAGTCTGTTGGCTCTCCTTAAATTCTACTCTTACAACAAAAGTCCACCACTTTGCCTCTACTTAGTGTCCTCCAGTGGGCGGGGCCATCTCTCTTCCCCCATGTGGTGGGGTGGCAGGGACTAACGGTTGATTAGGGAGGGGTTCATGTGATTGAAGCAAGTTTGAGCCTCAGAAAAGTGCATGAATGAAGCGCCGTCCTGTCCCGTATGAACACAGACCTGAGAACAACAAACCTAAAGGGAGTTTGACTTCACTCTTTTTCAGAAAGGAATTACTCATTAACATGTGGGGGATATATTTGATATAAATATCTGTGTTAAAAGTGTTGCATTTAATAGCTAGCTATAAAACTCTGTTGTCACAATTTGTAATAACTCAAGAGCTTTAGTTGACCACCAACCACAACACTGTTAGAAATTAACACCGGGATCTAACTCTATAAAATTATATTTTTAAGATTTTTATACTTTTACATCCTGCTGCAGTCGGTTCTAATACATGTATATCATACCAAAGTGTCTACTTGCCTAACATTTTGAAAACAAGACTTAAAGCCATTATACCAACAGTTGTTTGGCGGGGTTTTATCGTAGTAAGCTGTTAATCCACATACTCTGACATAACAACCAGGCTTGCATCTATTTCAAGGAACAGACTGAGGTTTTGGCGGTTTTGCCACAGACAAACAGTGTGAGCCAGTTTATTGACAGCTTGGGGTATTGGGCCACTGTGGGTGGATGTGAGGTGTGGAGCTTCAGTTTGGTGTTACAGAGGAAGCACCCTGAAACCTGGCAGCACCACACTTTTTTTTATATAAAAGAGGAAAACAAATACAGGTTAATTTAAGCGCATTCATAAGGTTACCCTCTGTGCAGCTCATGGATGAGTCATGAGCAAGCTCTTAGACTGGGTAGTTGGTTGTAATTCTTTGAGGTGGCTATGAGTAACTCAATAGGTGTCCAAGTAAAAAGGTTGGGCAGGAGGTATGCACACATTGAGAAATGTAGGCTTCAGTACCTTTTTTTTACCGCTTCCTTTACTTTAAACTACCAAAAGATATTTATGCAAATAAATTCCACAAGAAATCGTGTCAAGATGAAATAGTAAAATTGGTTTTATCCAGCATCAGGGATAAAACATGTCAGTGCCCAACTGGGGCACTGACATGTTCAGGGGTGGCCTGAAGTTTGTGTGCATGCACATGAATAAGGAGCATACCACATATTCTTATTTACCATGATAAAGGCAACATAAAAATCTTAATTCTTCAAGGACTCAATACAAAAAGTTTGTCCAAAGTCACAATTTAAAGTATTTTAAAAATTGCAAACAAACGTCTGCACACTGAAAACTATGAGCTGCCTGTTGCAACACAGCGTGAGTGGTGGATTTTAACTTAAGTCCCACCTCTGGCAAGGCCAGTAGCCAATAATAATTAAAGATTTGGACACGGCCCTGCTCTGTTAGTATACATTTCATGAAGAGGACATTATATGTTTAAAGGCACCCCAACACCAGAAAGTGGCTTTTTTTAAAGTTTTCCCACATTGATATTCTGTGGTGCTTGAGGGAGGCCTTGCAGGGATGTTTGGTAAGTTTCTGTGGCTGGTGAAATAATACCTTTGAGTATTCCTTCAATACTGTGTGCAAACCATGCTTCTTTGTGGAGTGATTCAGCTCACACAATGCAAAAGCTTCCTCTTTATAGACTCTTCGGCTCTCCTTTCCTGGAGAGGTCAACACTGTCGAGTTTACTTGCTTTAGGCAACAATGCAGAAAGGCAACAACAGAGGTGTAATGTTAAGCAAGATGTTTGCACAAAATAACTCTATCCCCATGAGGCAATTTACTGCAAACAATCCATTTAAATGAATTGCTATTTCCCACAATGTCAAAGGTTCACGACTTTGCACACAAGTAACACCAAATTGAAGCAGAATGCCAAAGATATAGTCAAATTCACCTGACCATCTTGTTGTCTTGTTATTTCTTGTTAACAGAGACTGCTTTATTCCACCACTCTCACTCTACACCAAGTTAAAGAATCCTGCATGTCAGCCAGAGCCGTAGACAAATGAAAATAGGACAGTGGCAGGCCTAATCTCACGCTTCATCATCCATGCTGTATCTGTATTTAAATCTCACTTCTCTGCCTCTCCATACTTCTATGATCCTTTCCTCAGACTAAACAGGCCTTTGAGCATCAAGTTTAACCAAGGACAAGCCCTCAGCAAGAGGTGTGGAATTTCTGGCTCAGTGTAAGGACCCACTAGGGGAGAAGTGTCTAACATATTTGTGGTGTATTTTGAGAACGGGGGCATAGAATGGAGGCCACATAGCATACAAGCTAATATCTAGGCAAACTGCTGCAATGAATCAATACTGTGGGCTGATTCGGTTTAAACAAAGACTTCTTTCTTCTCCTCTGTCGTACAACAGCCTTGTGAGAGAAACCCGGTGTTCCACCCAACTGCATAAATAACAAGAAAAACTGTGTCCTTCAATCTGAAGCCATGTTGCCGAAAAAGATGTTTGAGTAATTCTCCGGTAATTCCAGAGAGATTTGGCGATATGCCAAACGTCTCCAAAATCTCCCCCGTGTGCGTTAATTGTTGCCATTTTGTCTCAGTCCTGGGGTCATGAAAGACATTTTACATTGTGGAAACAACACAAAGAGTCTGTGTGAAATTAAACATAGAGTTAGGGGTGAAATGTTTCTGCAGGGCACAAACAAATTGTGTGTCTTGTTTGTCTTAAACTCTTGGCCTGAAGAGCGCCATTTCAAAGTCAGCAATTTCTCAGTACAGAGCCACTCCAGAGCAATCAGAGCTGCATGCCGTCCTCGGCACAAAAACACACGAAACAGCACTTGAGGATGAAATCACACAACAACACAGAGACTAATTTGTTTCTGTGACATAACTGTTCTTTTCCCACTGATTAGGTTTATCCATCTGTTACACATTAATATCACAATAGAATATTATTTCCTGGAATTCAGGCACAATGATGGTTTTTGGTTTCTGTCTGGTTTTAGAATGAGGAACATGTAGGAGTGTTTTAAGCCTACTCATGCTAATAACATAATGGATGACATAACAGCTATGGTACTGAGTAATGGCGTCAAGATTGGAATAAGTCATCCCGGCTAAGGGTTTCACAGCAAGGAACACAAAGCCTCCCAATAAAAGCGACCAGACAGTAACACAGCGAGTTGCAAAAAATGGTGGCAACAGGAACAAGACTGTCACAGCACAGAAACTTGGTTCCACAGAACAAAATGAACAATGTCAGTATGTCAAACAGAAAGAAAGTCCCAGGGCATCCAAGTGCAACAAACACCACCATCACCATGGAGACTGAAGGCGTATCAGGGTCCAGTTTTGCATTGTGCACTGCTGGTTTGAGTTCACAGGAAATCTGCAGGACTTCAGAAGAGTTCAAAACAGGAAGAGTACTGTTTCTTCCAGTGGAGACCCGACAACAGCTCTCGAACTTACTGTGGTTAAGAGCTAAAGTCCCCGCCTTCAGTAAAATAAGACACCAGGGAGGGGAAGGGATACAGGAAGCAATAGGGTTTGTGGGGAATGTGGGGAAGCAGTGGCACCAACAACAATCAAGTGAGGGAGTTGTGAAAGATGCCTTGTTTGGATTGGTTGATTCAGATGTGTTTGTTTTACTGTTAGTGTGGTGCAAAATCAAAAGGTCATCTTTCCTTTTGATTGTTATAGATACATCAACTGTTCATGACTTGATTCTTGAAACCGTTTCTGCATGAGTTATTTTGTTGACATTGAGGTAGAAACACTTTGCAGTCATATCCGGCTGCAGGTTGACACTTACCACAGCAGTAAGTCTGTATGCACCACCACTATGTTCAGTCAGGGCCTTGTACCATCAGCTCAGAACCTGCAACAAAGAAGAGGAAGGAAACTCTGTCAGGGGCTTTAGAAATAGATCAATCGAAAGAAAACCAAAGTATTTCTGTTAAGAGTCTCTGACAGCACCTGCTGGATGAATGTCACAGCTACACCACTACATTCACCAAGCAATATTAGCAACAAAACGGACGTTCCCAGGCGACTTATTTCGAAGTCGGTTGAACATAACTTTAAATTCTGACTAACCGACCAGTCTAAACGTTTGAAAACATAAAGCAAACAGTCATTTGGTTTGCTGAACAGTGCTAGCATCCCCAGCCTTCAGTCCGCCCTGCAGGTTAACGTCCACATGCCAGGGAGAACACGGCCATTAACAGGGGCTACAACCAGTCTTTGGTTACAGCCCCGGCTAGTGGTGGGTGGCTGCGTTGCAATTTGAGCATAACATTTGACCGGCATTAATTGCCAACATGTAAAAATACTAATTATTAATTTAACTGATTAGTAATGATGGTGCTGACTAGCAAGGGTGGTTATTTTTAACCATTTGGTCAACTAAACGAGCACACATCCCTATCAGCACATACTGTATGTTTCTGCAGCACCATGTCTGACAGGATGGCGGTCAGAACTCATTTGTGAATGTCTGATAATCTTGTGTTCTTTAATACACTTGTTTTTAAGGAAGGAGCGTTCTGAGCATCTTAGCAGAATAATATTCATGTCACATTGATTTGTTAATTGGGCAGGATCTTTTTATCATGCGTGTGCACTACAACCCAAATGAGACGATTAACCAGAAAAAATGAATCAGCAGCAACTACTTTGATACACAATAACCCAAGCTGTCTGTGATTTTGTTAATATGTATCAAATATTAAATTCTAGTACAGTGTGTGCCATAGTTGGAAATCAGCACCCGTAACTACAAAAAAAAACATCTAAAAAAGTATTTGTCTGGTGGATTTGCTGGATTAAATTTTTTTCAGCAAGACAAAGAGCACGTCAGTTGAAACATCTCCCTTCATAAGATGTTGCCTGTTACTTGAATACTGTAAGCCTTGATCTGATGGTTAAAATAAAGTGGCAGGTGGCACCAAGGCGTATTTTGAGTCACAGTAGCAGGTAGGCGAAAAAGTTCATTTCCAACCCTGGTGTGTGCTGACAACAAAACTCTGCTGGGCACATTAACAGCTGACTTCAATGCACACCACATTTAAGGCAGGAAGCACCAACTGGATTTGTGCAACAACACACTGCTATCTGCACCTATAGAGATAATAGTCATCAAAATGTAATGTTATACCTGACTAATGCTGTGAACTCAAACTACGTGTTGTTTTGACTGTGCTTTCTACAACAGTTTTCCATCAGAAAAGCACACCTAATAAAGTTAAAACAAAGAACTGTAAGAAACGCTGCAATCAGCACTGCCTTCATGAAGCCACAAAGTTCAGCTTAACTGCAGTTCAATGCTGTGGTAATTATTAAGGCTGCAGATTGAGGTTGCGTCAGAGTGTTGCCAGATTGCATAATCCTGTTGAGTGGCCTTGAAATCACTGAACATTAAGACTCTTTTGCCAGGCTCCATCTACCCGCTCACTGCTTTCCTCCCCATTTTCTCTGACCTTGATTTTTTTTTTTTCTCTTTTTAGTCGTTCTTTCCCTTGATTCCTCTGTTTCCCTTCCTCCTGGCTCTGCTGCCTCTGTCTCTACAGAGGCTGCAGAGCAAAGGGAGCGATAATGTTACCACAAAGAAAGCAGGAGGAGTTGGGTGTGGCCAGAAAAACACTAAAGTGTTGAAGGTTGCAGAGGGCTCGCTGGAGGACACAGCTCTGCCGTGGTAGGAATGGAGTTTCTAAGCAGCACAAGGCCGCCGAGATAATTATCTCTTTGAAGAAAATTGAAATATAAACAGCTGCAACTTGTATCTCTACTGTAATCAGTTACCATGCCAATAGCTCAAAGATGTACACAAACAAACTTGAGTGTTTCAAGTACAAAAGGGAAACGGTGATGCACTGCAGTTTATAAATGAACCAGGTAGATTAAAAGGGATAACTGTAGAAAAAAAAAATCATTCAACCAGGTGAAAAGGCAACACACCTTTGCATGGCACATATGAAAAATGAATTTTACTTATTGAGATGAAACAACTGGAACATCTGCCAGACTTCTTGTACACCCTGCACAGCACATTTAATTAAAGTTAATGGGAGAGCTTAAAGTTTAGTTCAAATTCTCAACATACCCAGATCACAATGGTTCATAAAACAGGAAAGACCAGAAGTGGTTTCGGCCTTCACTCCTCGCTCTACTACCTGGATGTAAACCAGCAGTAGACCGATAACATCTCGTCGTGTGGATGGGTCTGGCAGTATTTTGATTTAGAAAACAGAGATCAAGTTTTACGTAGGCTGTTTCGTGTTAAACTGGGACTCAATGCATGACCAGTACATGTGGACATTAACCTGAAGGAAGGCTGGCGATGCTAGCATTGCAAACGTTAGCCACACATGCGTTTAATCAAGAGTCAAATAACTTGCTAGCAACGTCCATACTTTATAGTAGACTAAAGATCACTAACCATCAACTTAAAAGAGCTTTGATAATCCCAGATACTGACCCTTGAGATCGGCCATACACAACATACTATCTTTATGCTGCAGCATTTTGAATGTTTGAAATGTGGACAATTTAAAATAAAAATGGCAATTTTTAACTGTCTCACAAATATATGAAATATCACCTTGGCTCTTTGTCGGGTTGGGTAATCCCCACCCAATTCTTACGTAACAATGTCCAGAGCAAATGAAAAGGCAAGCCTGCACACTTACATCACAAACAATTGGAGTAGTAGTGCCAAGTTGCCTTCTGTTGATGCTGTTTTTGGATTGCACTGCACCCACGTGATGTGGGTATAACCATCCTCCTTCACAGTGTGTCCAAAGGTCCACATCAAGATTTACAAAGACAAAATCATGGGCTGTTGTGCAAAGTAAATGTTACCACCTTGTCTCAGAATGAATAGCAGTGGTGGGGAAAAAAGAGGAAAGCGAGACAGTGCAGTTGAAACTTGATGGTATGACGGCACAGGGTATCTGGGGATCACAATGTGGCCTCAACACTAACCAACAGTACACAGTGTGCAAACGGATTTGGTCAAACCATTTGGTCAAACCTTTATATTATTGCCCATTCGTATTTTAAAAATGTTCACCATGTCTTCAAGGCCACAGATAATAAAGGTGCATATTCCTTCAGGGCCAGAAATATTGAGTATAAACCCCAAACGATTGAGCAAACCAGCTCCAGGTGTGTTGCTGGTTCAACAAAAACACTGCAGTGCAGCTGGTTTCATTTCAGTTTCAATAGTTTCACCCAACCAGTGAGGGAGACTAAAGCAGACAACATGTCTTACATTTTTCCTCTGTATATTTTTTTATAGCAAATCATGTCTGTCAAAATAATTTTTAGATTTTAAAATGTCACAAATGATCTTCCAAAATACCAAAACACACGTTTTCCTCGTAGATCTCTTGAACAACACTAATGCCAAATCATAATCATGATTCATATCACTATAATAACGACCCATTATGAGAACAGACTGCCTTTCATACTGAGTCTTACAAAGCCATAACAGACGAGCTAAAGCCAATCCAATATGTTCCAGATTTAATTCTACATTTGAGATAAACACCTCATTTTCTAAGCAGCACTGAGCCCCAGCTTTACCTGATAATAATGCAATCAATACATCAGAGCTCTGCTAACACCCCACATCAATTAGCTGGGGCTAAATCACCTGAGCTTTTTCTCTCTCGTATGAGGAACAAATGCAGAGCTACGAGCCTGCCTTATAGTAGAATACAAAACCACAGTCAAGGAGAGCTTGTTTGAGGTCAGGGCTAGGTATCGGCAAGGACCAAATGATAGGAAACGCATGACGATGCTTGGCAAAGCTCTGCATAATTGAATAAAAGTGCTCAGAAAACAGCTTGCCGTGCTAATTGAGTCAAATTTCCGTTTAAATTCATTAGAAAATATGGTTTTCACAAAACCAGATTTTACACTTCAATATAAACTAGTACAAATTAAACAATCAATACCTGTTTCAATACCTCAGCAAAAAAAAAAAGGCTAACCCTTGGGACCTAAATTTATGAACTCTCTTTCATTTAATTACCAACGTGCATACAATGCTGGTACTGGAAAAAACACTAAACACATACTAAGTTATTCTAAATACTGGTAAGACATGGCTTAATTAGAAAGATTTTCCCAAAGATATATTACAGAAAATACATTATTTCATCTCAATTACCACCACAATGCAGCTGAAATGCATTGTGTCTGTACGGGCCTCTTTGCACTTTTAGATTTTCTAATAATGTTACTGTGTGTGGGACATTTCTGAGTGTCAGTCATTGTGCAGTACTGTAGAGCTCACATCCCGCAGGTAGGTACCAAATGAAAATATAGTGATGGGGTGACATTACTGTCTCTCTCCTGTGTCAGTCTGTAGCAGACACCATATCTTGTGCATACTAATAAGACGCCCAAAGGAATTAGTAGTTGGCGATCTATGAATTGTAACGGTTAGTGTGTTGTGGCTGTGAAGAGCTGCAGGTCTGAGAGGACTAAAGAGACACACAGCGGGCAGCATGAGGAGCGCTGCATACTAACAAAACCCTCCTACTTTGAGTGGAGCTGTAGGCATGTTTATTAGCTCAGCAGAGTGCAATTGCTGTTAAATCAATTATGAAATGACGTCTTCGTTTACCACTTATGAACCCTTAACCTGTATGCTAGTGGACCACCAAGCTGTCTCTCTTGCTCACGGCAGCTTTGGTGTCTGTGAGGTCATGTTGATTCAAGGAATTTTAATATATGTAGTTATTTTTTCTACACAGTGACTACAAATGAGCAAGACAATCACGGGAGAAACATGCTGCAGACTGTTTAACATTTTCCCTTCCACAACTGAAAACATGAGCAAAAAATAAAAAGGTATAAACTACACGG